ACACACATGTCTCTATATGTACAGTTACACACACGTCTCTATATGTACAGTTACACACATGTCTCTATATGTACAGTCACACACACATGTCTCTATATGTACAGTTACACACATGTCTCTATATGTACAGTTACACACACATGTCTATATGTACAGTCACACACACGTCTCTATATGTACAGTTACACACACGTCTCTATATGTACAGTTACACACATGTCTCTATATGTACAGTTACACACACATGTCTCTATATGTACAGTCACACACACGTCTCTATATGTACAGTTACACACACGTCTCTATATGTACAGCTTCTGTCTGCTCCTGATGAACATGACAACATGTAAACAGCCCAGTAAATAATGAGGCCAGAGTCAAACACAAAAAAACTTGAGTAGAGGATAAAGGTCAAACTGGACCATCACTAACTGTCATGTGTCACACTACAGAGTGATACTGCTCACTCATACATCAGTCTGATCAGATCTGAGAGCAGTTATTGGAGACAGACTCAGTACTCACTCAGTGCGACGCACAGCGCTGTGACCTGCATGATGTCTCCTCGCTGACTGTCTGATCATCAGAACAGAAGAGCAGCTAAATATGATGTAGCTGAAGGTGAAGCACTTCCTGTTCCTGTGCAGAGGAGGCCACAGCACTTTAAAGTGTCTTTGAGGTCTCAGCTGCTCTGATCAGCTTCAGAGCGGCTGTGTTTCGGAGCGCAAATAAAAAGCTGAATGACAAAGAAAGATAAAAACATTCAGTTCATTATTTTATAGTTATTAAATCAAGCAGACGTGCAGACCCTTTTTCTTTTCAGTTTTGTCAAGTCTGACATGACAACCCTGAGGAGAGTCTTTTGTGTTGCATTATGGGAACTGTAGGATCTACTCTATTAGCGTGGCACATATTTAAATATTGAAAAGGCCTAACTCCACGAAGAATGAAAGAAAACACAACATGTTCTCATCCCAACTCGTCACATACAGCCGCTTTGTTGATGAGCATAAACCTCAAAATATGACGTGCGAGGTGTCCTCCTACCTCTGTCTCAGATGTTCAGGGACGGTGTGTCAGTTCACACATGTAACATGAGTCTTTTCAAAATACACTTTGATTTTTTTACAGGAAATGTACAGTCTCTGCTCGGTGCATGTGTACAGTAAAAAAAAAAGAGTGTTGGTAAAACACACAAAAAACATGGTTTGTCTTGAACTTCACACTGGAACCAAACAGCGTGCTCCCAGGTGAAAGTCCTAGTTTGTTTGACCCATCCACCTCCCTTGCTCCTGCCCTGTCTGCCCTGTCTGCCCTGTCTGCACTGTACACACTGTACGGCTCTTGATATCATGGTAGTTGCTGATGGCGTTACAAACTGCTGCCCACTGGAGTGTAACTTACCGCTGTGAAGAGTGTCTCGCTGTGTCTGCGTCTGATGCCGATGTGACCTGACTAAGCAACAGTGTTTGATGACTTCAGTCAGTGGCATGCACAGACTTTTTGAAGGGCAGGGGCGAAAAGAAAAGAAAAACCCTCCCAAGAGGGCACTTTAATGAGCGTTTTTTAACAATTGGGCCACTGTGCACACCACTGACTTCAGTCATCGCCCACTGCCTCCAAAACTGATGCATCAGGTGTGTATCATACTGCTGTGAAAGGTGCCTCTCTGGGTCAGCCTCCGACACTGACACTGAGTTGGGAGTGAGAACAGGCTGGAACACAAATGAAGGTGGTCCACAAAGAGACCATCTCACCAACATTATGAGGATGCTGGAGGACCAGAAGGAGCAACTCAGACGGCAGCAGCAGAGAGGGAGAGGAGAACACCAGGGAAGAGAGTCACTTCTGTATTTTTCAACCTTTTTTTTCCAGGTTTTGTGTCGAAGAGATTTATGGGAACAACATTTTCAGAGTGAGAGCGCTGCAGCCCAGCCTGCTCTCATATTGAAGTTGTCAAACAGCACCGCTTTGTCAGTGAGCTCAGCGTCAGACACAGAGACCAAGAACCTCCATTTGTAGTGGTATGATACGCAAGCAGGGGGTGTCAGTGGGTAACACGGCCGGATGGCGCCTGCCACAGCAGTATCATACCTGCTGGACAGCATCAGGTTGAAACGCTGCTGGTAAGAATTTAATGTAAGGATCAAGACAGTCCCTATGAGGTGGGAGGGAGGAGCAGCGGATGGAGCCAACAAACCCCTTTCAAACCGACTCTCAACCAGGAGGTGGTGTTTCATTCCGGTAGAGTCAAACCATGATGTTCTTTTACTGTAGAGTCCAGCAGAGGAACATCAACCACACCACAACCCTAACATCATGTAGTCTCTTCTAACAGCTGATGACTGCTGATGTGTGACTTGTGTGTTTGATCATCTCAGCTGACTGCTGCTTGGAGGCTCCATCTTGTTGTGCAGCTGGTGTCAGCAGCGTTCTCTTGGTCGTTCTCCTCACTTTGATTTGTGCAGCCAGCAGCTGGTGTTGTTGTTGTGTGGAAATGGAGACGACACACAGTCAGAGCTACTGCAGCTCTGTGACTGTGATGTTAGCGGGCAGACACTAGATGGCACTGCTGACTACATGTTAGTAACTCTGATTTGACCTTCTCTCTCTCTGTGTATAAAACGCGTGCATCAGACTGAATCAACATGTGTCTCCTCCCACAGACTCAGAAGAGACGCTCCAGAAGAAGAAAGAGTAGGAGCAGATGGTTCAAACACAGACGGAGCAGAAGGAGGAACTGAAGAACCAGACTCAGAGGGAACTTTAGTTTATAGTTAGATTTAATTTGTCTACTGACAATCTAAGTTTTAATATTCTCTGTTGCTTTTATCAATAAGACGATGATAGATGAAAGATGAAGATGTAACTCTCAAAAAGTAAGATCATAACTAAACACTTTCACTGACCTCAACATCATGAAGGATTCTTCCTTAAAATAATTCTGTTGGTGTTATTTGGATTAGGTTACATTAAATACAGACCGTGTGAGTCTTCATATCAGTAATTATTAATGAAAGCATTTGGACTGGCTTTTGTGTCAACACATTCTGTCTAAACTCATCACATATCATCACTTTGTCAGAGGACTTAAAGAGGCAACAGATAGGATTTGTTTTTTTTAGCTTGGCGCCACCTAGAGTCAGTGGTGTTGCGTTGCACTGTGGCAACGACCAAATTGAGCGTGGGGATCAGAGATAATGAATAAAATGTAGGCTGTAAAGCCACCAGTATACCTCTATGTATATGTAGAATGAGAAGGTGTGTGGACACTCTACTAAATAAATGAGTAAAGAGACCGAGCAACAATTATCAGATTTATCTGAAGAAAAAACAAATAGTAATGCAAATAATTATAGCAGAATGCACAGTACCAGTACAAACAGCTCACAGTAAATGATACCAATATGTACAGTATCAGTACAAACAACAGTAGACACAGTGGAATTATACCAATATGCACATGTAAACAGTCCCCATTCTAGAATAAACGCTACCGTATGGAAACCATGCGGCCGGTTGGAGCTCAAATTGAATGGGAAACAAAGTCCAGTGTTCACTTAGCTGGGCGTAACTTAGCTGGGCGATGTCCGTGGATAGCTGCCTCCGTGAGAAGAGAACAGAAGGAAGGGAGGGGGGTATCACTGTCCGAGGGCTGCCGTAGAATGGCAACCAGGACGTCAGCCGACCAACACTCGCTACCCGCTCCCTGGTTGTGGTGATTTGCGATGCTGGCCAGCTAGGAATGAACTAGCAGCCAGTACAGTACAGTCCTCTCTGGTCTAGCTAACATTTAGCCGTGTTACTTACTGATCCATTAGAAAGAAAGCTAGCTGGACATGGGTTTTGAAGCCTCTTTGGTCAAGGAGCTCCCTCCATCTCTTGAACGCCTGACTGAGGTTTACTCTTGTTTTTCCTCTTCTTTTATCACTCTCCTTTTTGCTCTTCTTTGCCTCCTCACACAGAGGAGCTCCTTTTCTTTTGCTAGGCCGTTTTTCACTTGTCTCCAAACTTTGTCCGTCTGCCATTGTGCTCGTGACTCAACTATCTCATGCCCAACTCCTCATAAGGACCAGCTCCAGTCCCTGATTGGCTGACCGACCAGTTTCACAATACATGACGCGTTTCCTGCCGTAAAGCAGATTTTTTTCCGTGAAATTTCAGCACTTGTGGCAGAAGCTTATTGCAAAGATTGCAAAGCCACTAAGTAACCTATGTAAACACTGATAGTCTGATTTTACTGTGGACACTACCCTGTGCAACCCACATTATTTTCATCATGATATATTTAGGAAGAGATGCTGTCGGTTGCCTCTTTAAACATCTACATGGTATATGCTCAGTATCCTGCTGCATCTGCTGATGATGTTCAGGGACACCACAAACAGCGGTGCGACTCACACCTATGGCAAAAACATCCACTGACCGCAACCTGCAACAGGACGTCAACAAAGGCATGTGATTTAAAGAACAAAATCATGATTAGGCACAGTATCCTTATGTGAAGTGAACACCAGGCTCCCGGGTGAAAGTCCAGGGTGTGTTTGCTCTCATACGGACTTTCCTGCTTCGTATAGAACATCGTTACCGGCAGTGTTTCTACCTGACTCAGCCCAGCAGTGGATCATCCCGCTGCAGCAGGTGCCGTCCAGCCATGTTATCAACTGATAATGCCTGTCAATGCATCATACTGCTGCGACTGATACCGTCCAGCCAACAGGTGGCATATCCTGACACCACAAAACGTTGCCTGCCTGGTGGCGTATCATAACACTGTGAAATGTGGCTTTTGGCGTTGGTGAATCACTTTTTGAAACTCTTATTTTCCACTGACAACATTTGGCCTTTGGAGGGCAGCACTGAGCCTCTAATGTCTCCATGCTTTAGGACACATCAGCCAGGTCTCATTCTTCAGTCATCAAACGTCGCTGCTCTTGCAGAGATTTTGGCGTCAATCACCAGCGCCAAAAGCCACCGTTCATAGTGTAATGATACGCCACCAGGCAGTGTCAGTGTGCAGCCAATGCACCCAGACAGAATCTTTAGAGGTGTTGCAGTATGTCAGCAGATGGCACCTGTCATGGCAGGATGATTCACCGCTGGATGGCGTCAGTTGGAAATGCTGCCAGTAGCAACATAATAGAAGGAGCTGAAGTACCTACAGTATAAAAGTCAGGAGAGGAGGTGGATGGGTCCAGTAAAACCTGAACTTTGACCCAGGAGCCAGCTGTTTGCCTTCTGCATGAATGTAGAGAAAACCATGATGTTTTTTATAAACCTAACACGTCCTGTCCCAGAACGTCGACAGCAGACGTGAGAGGATACCTAGTGTGAAACACGTAGACGTTAAAGTCCACTGACAGAGCGACCTACCTGTACCTGCATGCTGTACCTCATTTAACAGGCTATAAAAAAATACTCCCCTCACATTTGTTCGCTTACAGATCTGACACACAAGTTCAAACTCCTCAGTTTGATCTTGTGTCAGCAGTTGACCACCGAGAGTCTGTTTTAAAAGCTGAAGCAGCTCTGTTGATGTCAGCAGCGTCCTCAGACGTGTGAACAGGCAGAGCAGATAAAACCATGTGGTTTAACTGAAACACCAAACAGCTAGCTTTTAAAAATAGACTCTGGGGCTGCGAGTGAGCCGTGGCGCTTCATGGCGTTAACCTTTCACTGCGTTTACCTATATTTATGAGCAAGAACACTTTGACATAGATTTGATGTTCTTCTCCATCTTGAACGCGTATTAAACAAGCGGAGGCAGAGTCTCTCCTCCATCCTTCAGGTGGTGTTTCTGCTCTCACTGACCTGCAAACACACACAGATACATGTACAAATAAATTATACTGCACGCTCTGTAAAAGATTTTAACATGTTTAGAGACTCATACAGTCAAATATCCATATAGCTATATTTGTTGTCATGTATGTATCTGTAGATTTGTATCTGTAGTTTTTGTCTGTATGAATTTATTTTGTGTTTTTATGCAGATGACACACTTTTATTTCTGTTAAACCAAATGGTTGCTTTGTAAAAGTGACTGCCTTTATTTGACAACTCATGGATGTAATTTATCTTTATGCAAAAGTCATTTTAATCAAATATATTTCTAGCAAAGCTCCTGAGCATAAAATGACAGTATGAAAAATAATAAAGATAAAAACACTTCTCTCCTTACGCTGGTGTCTGATGGCTGCATATGTTGCTCTGTTTGCTTCAGCTGCCTCTCCACAGACTGAGGAGTTACAGAGACACAAACTTTACTGTTATCCTTCATTCCAACTTAATAAATATTAAACTTCAGTCACCAGAACAAAATGTTGGCTCGGTGCGTTTCTGCACACCACAAATGTGTTATGTTTATATGTTTTATATGTTTGACCAACACGTTGTCAACCAAAGGTATCACAGATCAGTCAGTGGACATTTCTATATTACACACTGGGTGCTTCTGTGTCCACCCAGACATCACAAACAACACTGAGACATCAACAAAAGTACGTGGTTAGGTTTGAAGACCGTCATGGTTTGGCTCCACATTCACACAGGAAGTGAACGACGTGCTTCTGGGTGATAGACTGGGATTTGTTGGATTTTGCAGAGATGTACGTGCCAACATTGTCCTGGTGATTGGGGTGTAACCTGGGCAGAGTTGTTGTTGTTTGTGGACGATATGAAATACTATTTGTCTTTTAATCATGTCAACATTTGTTGCTTTATACATTTGGATCTCTGGACTTAAGGACTGGGTTTAATTTAACTGCAAAACTGAAATCCATGTCTCATATCCAGATACATTCATTAGCCGTGATGTCAAACTCTCATTAATGCAAATGTAAGCATCCATCACTTGATGTGTTTCTGCTTCAAGTTAAACTAATCTGTACTACAGTCATAGTGTCAGTGGTTACACAGTGAATCTGTTCAAGAATATATCTGAAGAAGAAGAAAATACCTCTCTCCTTCCTCTTTGGTGTGACAACAGCATACGTCACATCCGTCACATGACTCACAGTATTTGCCTCTGGACAGCCTGAAACATTAAATATATTCACTGTCATCTTCATTTCATCAGGAACAATAGAAGTACAGTTGTTTACAGGTTGTTTACAGGTGTGAAGGTGTATATATATATATATATATTTGTGTTTCTTGTGCCTTGATTTATGTTATGTTTGTAAAGATTTAATTTATTTTTGTTGTAGTTAAAGGGGTATCATTTAAAATATATGAATTTGCAGATTATTATTTTTGATTGATTGATTACATTACATCTTACTTGAGTACAATTTTTGGCTACACTACCCACCACTGCTCATTTCTGTTAACTACAGTGTATTTTGACTTTAAAACATGCACTGTCAGATTCATACACACTGAACGTCTCTGCTCACTTGCTTCATACAAACTGTTTCCTCACATGCTTCGTGAAGAAAGGAAGCTCAACCTTTCACCAGGAAATTTGTAACATTACAGCAGCAGAGACACAAATTATAAACAGGACAAAAAGTACGTATTAATAAAAAGAAAGACACGATCAGTGTTTTAAATAAAATGTACAAAACAAACAGCAATACAATATGTGAGCAGCAGAATATAATAAAGACACAGACTGAGAGGCTGAGTTCACATCACTGACTGATGGAAGTTTAGATATTAAACACTTTATCATTTACTGATATTGCACCTAGTAAAATAAGATATATGAAACAAATACCTTTCTTCTTGTGTTTTGTGACTTTGGCGTACGTCACTGTTCGTGGATCATCTGCGCTGACGTGTTCATACACTGAAACAAACATGATAATAAAATATGAATATTCACTGTAGCATCTGCCGCCGCACAACACATCTGCCACCACTCAACACATCTGCCACCACTCAACACATCTGCCACCACTCGAGACATCTGCCACCACACGACACATCTGCCGCCACTCAACACATCTGCCACCACACAACACATCTGCCGCCACATGCCTGCAGTGTCCATCATAACCAACAGAAGCTGCTACACTGACCACAGGAGCTGTGCTCATGTGAGGGCACGGCACCACTCAGCTTTATTCTCACACAGCTGGTCTATTTCTAGTCTGCACACGGCTCTGCAGCCCTCCAACACATAAAGCTACAGAGAACTGTGTAAACATTTCATACAATGTGTTTGTAAATAATAAAAATGAGGCCAACATGCAGTATTTCATATTAAACTCATATGATGCGTCCTGTGGTTAAAACCCTCCAGTTAATGACATCAGCACCTCTTCATACAGATGCAGATTTCTATATTTGTCTTTTTTATGCTCCATTTAAAATCAAAATATCAGCTGATGTGACCGTGACTTTTTGACTGTGTGTTCAACAGCTGTTTGACACTCACCTGGGTCTGACTGTGTTGTTGGCGCCTCAGAGGGAAAACAAGCCGCTGTGCAACAGGACGAGAAACATCAGTAGACAGTGTTTTAACCCCTGACTGTCCAGTATTGGCACATGGCAGCTATGATAATAATAGTTATAGCTGAAACATCTGAAACCATCCAAGGTTCAACTTCTGAGAGAAAAGTCACAATCTGGTTTTTACTTTGTGCAGCTTCAAACGTTTTGCACCGTACATCACATTTACATCTCTTAATCTGCTTATCTGTTACTCATAAAGGTGAAGGTGAGCAGCAACGGTGCTATGTTCATGTCCATGGTTTAAAACCAGCTCTAACAGGTTTATAAACTGAGAGAGAAGAAGAAGAAGAAACCACACAGAAAGCAAACTTCACATTCCTCCCAGGTGATTTAACGAACCTCTGTGTTTCCGACACTGAAGCAGTCCCACCACCAACAGCAGCACAGACACACACAGAATGCTGAAGACAACCGGCAACAGGACGGAGAGCTGAATGGAGCCAGGGTCCAGAGGAAGATGAGGAGGAGGAGGAGGAGGAGTAGGAGGCTCTTGACCCTCCTGAGGTGTTGTGTCTTCATGTGAGGGAGCAATATGTGCTGTTAACACCATGAGAGATGAAAGTGTGACATGATAAAGTGTTTTATAATAATACAACACTTATATATGTGAAATATTTTACAGGTTATCTCAAACTGTCTTACTGAACACTCAAAACTAGTCAGTCACTGACTTCCACATCAGACATCTGACGCCGAAATGGACTATGGACTGTGCTTGTAGAGCACTTTTCTAGTCTTCTGACCGCTCACTGTCACCTGTTTACACATGAGTCACATTCACACACTGCTGGCCGATGCTACCACACATGGTGCCATCCATTAGCCACTCACACACTGATGGAGCAGTGTGTGAGTGGCTAATGGATGGCACACTGATGGAGCAGCCATCAGGAGCAATTTGGGGTTCAGTATCTTGCTCAAGGAAACTTTGACATGCAGACTGGAGGAGCCGGGGATTGAACTTCCCATCTTTCGATTAGTGGACAATCTGCTCTACCTCCTGACCTATAGCTGCCCAAAAAGCCACCTTTCATGGTGGTATAATACGCCACTGAGCGGCGCTAGTTGGTGGAGCCTGGTCTCACTCTGAGGGTACCAAAATCCGGCACTTGGGCAGTGACCAACCACGTGTGTGTTGGCTAAACGTAACCACGTGTGTGTGTTGGCTAAACGTAACCACGTGTGTGTGTTGGCTAAACGTAACCACGTGTGTGTGTCGGCTAAACGTAACCACGTGTGTGTGTCGGCTAAACGTAATCACGTGTGTGTTGGCTAGTTTCATTATGTCTCACCTGTGACAGCCAGCCAGCTCTCTGCTGATCCTCCAGCTCCAGAGATGTGACACCTGTAGAGTCCTTCATTGGACCTGGAGACATTGCTGATGGTCATCCGGCCCGTATATCCAGTCTTACTGAAGAGGCCGTCTCTATAGAAGTCAGCTGCAGAGCTGGACGATGTCATCTTTCTTCTGCAGCGCAGAGTGACGGCCTGTCGTTCCATCACAGGCAGAGCAGGACTCTCCAGGATCACATCACCAGCTGGACAACAAGAAATAAAGTGCAACAACCTTCACCTGCTTTATTCTGGAGCTTTCAGCCACACTGTGTTTTCTTGAAGAGCAGAAATGTTGCTGGAGTCAGTGTGTGTTGAACGTACCAGTGACGGTGATGTTGACAGCGTTGCTCCTGTCTCCCTCTGCATTTTCACACCAGTACTCTCCACTGTGTGTTTCAAAGGCAGGTGTGATGTTTAAGAATCCAGAGTCCCACTGAGAAACATTTGAGGAAACCTTTCTCATCACTCTCCATTCTGATGAGCCGTGAAACCCCCGACACTTGAATGAGATGGAGTCATACTCAAAGAACTGCAGTCTGTTTGGGTCCACGTGAAGAACACATGCATCTGTCACAGAGAAGAAGAAGAAGAAGAGGAAGAGCAGTGAGAGAGACGTCCCTGCATGTTCTCACACTGTAACAAACATGTGGATGTTCTTTAATCAACAATCTGAACTCACCAGATCTGTGAACACTGGAGCTGCTCTGCCCTTCATCAGTGAGCAGCAGCAGCAGCACATTCACCACTGGAGAGACAAAGAGGACAGCAGTGTGTCACACACACATGACGCCAACATGTGAACACCCTGCAGTATAACGAGGTGATGCAGCATGGACACACACTGCTGCAAATGTTCATCACTCTTCATATTATCAACGTGAAGACAGCTGTGTCTGTGTGACGTCTTCAGGGTGGAACGTGTTCATGTATGGCACATGACACACATGACAAATATGAAACAGAGTAAAATCAGACCTGATAATATCGTCCATGACTCTTAATGTAACTATGCACATTTATTAAGTCCTACTCAGGTCCAAACTGGAGGCACTTACTAACAGTTATAAGACACTAATGTGTTCACAGAGAGTTTATAGCCGTCACTCATCTTCAGCTCTTGTCCCCAGTTGGGTTTTTCCTGCAGGATGCTCCGGCACTAAGACAAAAAACACGTCTGTTTTTCTGAAGACATGAAAAGTTGTTTTTTAGAGAAGTTGACGCAACAAACACATGAAGATCTTATAGACCATGACGCATCACTGCAGATTAAATTAAACAACCCAACAGGATGTAAAGGAGATAAAATGAACTTGAAACATCTGCAGAGTGACTGCATGACTCATGAATGCAGCAGCAGTATTCTACTGCACCATTACTACTTTATACTTTGGATGATCAAACGTACGCACTTTACTGAAGGTACTGAGTGCATCATTTTTCCTTTAAGTGTTTTTAGTAGTCTTCCTCAGTGAAGAATCTGATAAGAAGAGAACCTGACTATTATAGCGTGGCTGGTGAAGATGGACACACAAAAGATGCACAATATATTTTGTGTAATTATAACCCTTCATTCATTTAAACTTTTATTTAAGACTCAACTCCCTCACTCTCACTGATGACATGAACACATGAACACATTAATCAACCAATAAGCAAACAAAGAACCATCAGACATATCAATTAAATCAGAAATTAAATCATCCACAACAACAAATATCAATATATGACTGAACGTCTGATAACGCTCCCTGATACAATCTGACATTCTGTTTGTTTGTTTGTTTGTTTGTTTGTTGGAAGTGATCTGAGAGTAACAACTGCAGACAGACTCACTCAGTGTGACGCAGAGCGCTGTGACCTCCATGGTGTCTTCCTGCTGACTGTCTGATCATCACACTGAAAGACAGCTAAACGTGATGTCGCTGAAGGTGAAGCACTTCCTGTTCCTGTGCAGAGAGCAGCTCACAGCAGGTTACAGCCTCACGACGTCTCGCAGCTCTCAGTTCCTCTGGAGGGTAAAAATACACGTGTGAAGATGGTCAGAGCTGCTGGGTCTCTGACCTTCATCAGAAAGTTGATTATTCATATTCAATAAATTAATCACATATTTTAAAGGGTCACTGCGCTGACGTCACAGGAGAGGTTCAGTCTGTGTGAACAGAACTCTGTGGCTCTGTGGCTGCGTCAGGTCTGAGAAGATAACCTTGATGATGTAAGCATGATGTCATCAGAGGCTGCAAACAGGGAGGAGTGATCCAAGAGGGGCACATGGGGCTGCGTTCAGCCTGACAACACATTCAGTTAAACACAGACAGTTATGTGGTGGCATTTGATTCAGTCCAAACAAAAGATGCTTTATTCAGGAAACATTTGTCAACATCAGCAGAGCCAGTGAGAAATAAATCCAGACTTGAATGTACCCAAGGATCTACCTGAACCTGGCTGACAGCTGATCTGGGTCACACCTGTGACACACACACACACACACACACACAGAAGGAGAGGAGACATACCTCAATGCTCGCTCCACACGTTTACAAACCGTCTCACATCATGTCGTTCTACCTGGATATAGAAGCAAAGTGACGCAGGACATTTAGAGGTTGGCCCAGGTGAGCAGCTCTGGAACAGGCAACAGGTAAACACACAGTTAGAGGTCCAGGTCCAGGGCCAGGTCCAGGTCCAGGTCCAGGTCCAGAGTCAGGTTTGAGGTCAAACGAGTGTAGTGGCAGTGGCTGAGTGTCGGTGGGCTGATCATAAACTGCAGGAGTGATGAAGGGAAGTGGAAACAGGTGAATGAAGAGTCATGTGACTGGGACAGTGTGAGGACATCTGCTGGACGGAGGGAGAATGACAAGTCCAGACAGGTGTGTGTGTGTGTGTGTGTGTGTGTGTGTGTGTGTGTGTGTAGTAGGCAGTTTTGGGATCAAATGTGAACTTGTAACTAGTCCAGTATGACGTGTTGGGGACTGTAAAGTTTTTTAGTTCAGCTGTGAGTTGAGTTGACTGGATCGTTCGAACAACGTGAGGTCAAAATACGGTCGCAGCTTAGATTACCCAGGATGCACTGTTTTAAGAGCATCTATGAGGCAAACATGTCACATTTATCTGTATGAAAACATTCATACGTGTAATTACACTCTGAGCTGTTAACATGTACAGCAGGCCTCAGGCTGGTTTGTTGGAGGCTGTCTGTGTCTCCTCCCTCTGACACAGTCACATGTCAACATGTGAAAGTTGTCCTTCCTCTAGAAGCTCGTTCCTGTCCTGCTTTATTAGCCCCCACAGCTAAAATGGTGCACTTTCATGCTAGCTGTACAACCTCATTTTGTAGCTAATAGATACCACAATTGATGTATAAAATTAAAAATGATCTATTTTGGTCTAAACACAATCCCCATGAAACTTATGACAGACTAAATTCACTTTCATGAGTGAAAAATGCTTTTTTGGACATAAATCTCGAACCACTTAACTCATGTGGTTCTTACCTTCACAGACTCCATAAAATGATGCCTTCCTCCAAAATATTTGGTCACATGCTCAATTTTATTTACGGTTTCCTAGCAAGAAGGGGTGGCTCAACTTACCCTTTGGCTCAACTTACCCCAGTCTCCCCTATAGCTGTGTCATCAAACCCAATATTTAAATAATAATAATACATCCGTAGAACGTCTACAGAGGTGCAGAATTAAAGTCTATATTTTCCTGAGAACAAATAATTACAGTAGAGAAATAATTGTTTTGGAAATTTTGACGGGTCCAAAATATGTCAGTATCTTGATTTGGTTACCTTGGTTACAGCGGTTGGGGGGGGGGGGGGAGCACAGGGTTGCCAGATTGTGATAGCTGCAGAGGTATGGCGTCGTCCCAGCGCTATCCGTCACAAATTCTAGCTGTGTTATGATGATGGCTAATTTCAGATATTTTAGCATTTTCTCTAGAAACAATGTTTTTGGGACTGTGATTGTTCCCGTTGTAGAGTTGTCAAATAGTGTCGTAAAAAAGTGAATCTACTGAATATGTCTAATATCCAGTAAACACCAAGCTCAGGAGTTTTTCACCCAGGAATCTAGTTTTTACACAAAACTATGGACTTGGTCCCAGATGGATCCCTGGACCAATGAGAGCTGCGCAGGTCCCCTGTCATGCACAGGACGGGTCATGAGGAGACATGTTGACCAAAATCAGGAGGCGAGAGCTCAGTGGCGTTCCTGATATAGATCCCAGTACACCTCAGGCTGTGAGCACTCCCTCCTCTTCATCCTCACCCAGGACACTGTATAATGACAAAGCCTGCTCCTCCTCCTCATCACTCCCTTCTGCCACTCTGGGAGAACAATAATGCACTTCTCCCTCTCTGGGTCTTCTGTCAGTTCAACACACTCGGGCTATGTGTCCAGTCATTGCACATGACATTTTTCCTTTTTGAGCTGACAGTCCTCAGGTGCATGTTTACCCTTGCAACGATAACAAACTTTATCCTATTCTGCACTCCCCTGGCTCTCTCTCTTCTGCCCCATGCTTTTTGATCCACCAGCCCTCACTGCATTACAGCACATGGCTCCTGCTTTGGCCTGAAAATCCTGCACATTTTTGTTGGCAGACTCCATTGCTTGGGCTACAGACAGGGTACTTTCCAATGTGAGATTGGTCTCTGACAGTAATCTTCTCTGGATTCGGTCATCATTTATTCCACATAGCAGCCTGTCCCGTAACATCTGTGAAAGTGTCTCTCCATAAGTCTCGTGCCAGTTTCCTTAACTCAGCCCCAGATTCAGCCACAGATTCAGTGGGTCTTCTCATACGTGAATCAAATGTAAATCTCTGGACAATTTCACTTGGTTTGGGGTTAAAGTGGCTCTGTAATAAAGTTACCAACTGTGAATTCTCTCCAGGTTTTGTAAGTTTGTGCTCCCTCCACACTGAGCAATATGGACTTCTTGATATCATTTGCAGGAAAGAAGTGCTCCATTATTTCACAGTATTCCTCCCAAGCTTGCACTTTTGAATCAAATGGTGGCAGGGATCCTGTTGGTGCCATCTCACCTGCATGTGTCTTCCCTCCTTCCACCAAGGTCGTTGTCCATCTCTCCAGATTATCCTCGTCGCCAATATAATATTGTGACGCTTGGAGAAACAGGACGCAGGACACCAACAATAGCTTCCTTGGGTTTTTACTTGCACGTGGTAGGGTTAGGGTAGGCACACAGACGGAGAGGACATCACATGACATGGATCTTCCTGATATAACGTCCTGACTAGGGCTAACTTACACACAGACAGCAGCACTGTGTGACAGCCAGGGAATAAACTGCAGCTTCATGAACCAGTGCTGCTGCGCTCTGATCATGTTCTGATTGTTGAGGCAACAGCGCCATCTAGTGGGCTCAGAGAATACACAGTGACTCACGAGGCTTCATTATCACTAGCTGTTCTGTACATGTGTTAGATGTGACTGCAGGCCAGTCTCAGGGGGCGGGGCCTTCTCAAACAGCAGTGACATTAGTTGGTGAAGACGTTAGGTTGGCGTGCCACCTGGATCTGACCTGGAGCCCATATTTGTCCATGTGTGGCATGAAGGACAAACACTGTGGTCAAACAAGACCTGTCTTACAGAGGACGGACATCAGTGTGCAGTGAGAGACTGAAGCATGGAGATGTGTCACTGACACTGTCTGCAGTCACACTCTCTGATGGTGGAAGATACAGATGCTGCATCCCCTCCCAGGATCATCAGTCTGCTGCGGAGCTGCTTGTTGTGGTGCACATGACACATCACACTCATGATGCATGCTGTGAGCCTCATTGGTCAGATGACCTGGTTGGATCACCTGGATGGAGTTTCTCTTTTGGAAGTGTGTGCTTCATTAGTCCGTCTTTCAGGTAGAAGGAGAACAGCTGCGTCTGCATGACGTGAGGCGGCAGATGAGCAGGTGAAAAGCTGTTCCTCAGCCCGTCCTCTGGTCATGTGACATCACTCTCAGGAGTTTAATTCCTCCAGTTAAACTTTATTCATATAATATCAAAGATTTCAGTTCATGAATCAGCTCATCGTGCTGCTCTGTAACTGCAGAAACACAAAGATCACACTCAGAGGGAACTTCAGTTTGTTACAGTTTATTTGGTAAGAACATCATGGTCGCATCAGTAATGTACATTTAAGAAAATACACCACATATAAACACATTCAGAGGGTGATGATATATATACTACTGTATAGAGATGACTGATCCCCAGAAAAGATATTTTACCTGTTAATCTCTGATAAAAAAAAAAAGGATTTATTTCATGGTGGTTTGAGGAAGATGTTAGAGGTGAATATGTGCACGTGTGTGTTCTCCTGAGACTGCATCATGCTGTCACCTTAGTAGTACACACAAAAAAATGCTGGGTTATTTCTGTAAACACATTGTTGGGTTGTTTCATGCTGGGTCAGAGGGGTTGGAAGGGGTTCATTCATAGCTAAACAGTTGGATGGGTTACTGTGACCCAACCAGTGGGTTATTAATTGTCCCGCTCTTCTATTGTTCAACTTCACAGGAGGACACATCGAGCAGATTTTCTGCTAGGTTAATATTTATCTATATTTTCAATAGTTGGTGGTAACAGAGTGAGCTTATTATTATTTCACAATCCTGGATCATAGGGGGGTTAATATTTTTTTTTTATTCTGTGACATTTATTAATAAAGTTGAGCAAGTTTAGAATTTTTCCCTAGATGCTAGCTGACTTCAGCTAATCTTTAACAATGCTATAACGTTAGCCGTTTTGAATTTTGCAGTTTAATGTGTTGTAACGTTAGTCTCCAAGCTTTATTGGTCATCTGGCTTTACTACCTACTGCACATTTATATCTTAACATTTTTAGGCAACATTAGCTGGTTTTCTATCATTAAGTTAGCGGTAAGGTTAGCTAACATTAACTAGCTATCGTAGGATCTCTGGTGTAACGTTAGGTTAACATTAAGTTAAGAGGACTTGGCGTTACACATGCCGACAATGTTTTATGGTAAACATTACTATAGTAATTTATTCGTCCATTCAACAGAACATGATATATACATACAATTTGGATTTCTGTATTAAGTATGGGCAAAAAGGCATAGGCTGAAGCAACATGTTATTTTTGCCTACCCTATTTACAAGAAGGAAAGTTGCAGAAACAGAACACTAAGATAGCGATAACGAGATGGCACAGTTTTAAACAATGATTTTTTTTATCTAAACTGAAAACAATAAATAATATTAATCTAAGCAGAATCTTAAATTCATACTAATTGGCTTACTTTATCCCAGTATTTTATATTTACTGAATACCTTAATTTTAAACATCTTTTTAAATTTAGTGACTGATGTGCATGTTTTTAATTCTTTATCAAGGGTATTCCATAAGTTTACTCCAGTTACAGATATGCATTTGCCTTTTGTGTTTAACCTGATCTCACAGAAATACGTGAAATGACCACGACCTCTTAACACCACATTCCGTGGTGGCAGCACATAATGGGTTGAAATTACGTGCTGCCACCACGAAAACAATGCCAATGTAAAGTCAATTAGGATCCTCTCCCGTGGTGGACACACGGATTCCCTGATTCAATCACGTCACATCAACCTCGTTTTCCTCAATGATATCTTTAACATTCCTGTACACACACAAAAACGCAGAAGTGTCCTTGATAACTCAACAATATGACAGGTTAATGTCAAGGCCATAAAATAAAATAAATGTATTTTGCCAGCTTTTGATAGCGTAGGGCTTTAAGAGCATTGTGCTGTGGGCGGATGGGGCG